ATAAATCTAAAACAAATGCATATTTATAATCTTTTTTTATTTTAGTTTCAAAAAAACATCGTTATTTAGTTGATTTATTATTTGATTATCATATTGGTACAATCTATAGTGATACAGAAGAAAAAGGTGAAGGTGAATTACGTTTACGTCTTATTTTAACATCAATTGAACAAGCTCTTAATCATTCATTAATTTGTTCTCTTGGATTAAATTTATTTAATCAATTAATTCTTATTCATACTTCATATGAAAAATATAATGATGCAATTGAAATAGCTAAACATGCTGAAAATCTTTATAATCAATCATTAATTATTGAACCATATCTTTTAGAAGAATTAATTCATATTGATTTATCAAATCAAACAATAAATCGTCGTGAAGAATTTGAACAAATATATATTCATACATTATTTTATCTTGCACAAATTTATGGAAAACTTAATGATAAATATCAATCAGCTAATTATTGTCGTTTAACACTTGAACGTCAATTAGAAATATTTTATCAAAATAATAAAAAAAATTTCGATCCATTAGATTGGGCAACAAATTGTGCTACACTTTCACAATATTATATGACAAAACATGATTATGCTACAGCTCGACATTGTCTTATGTGTGCTGATAAAATGTTAGAAAATGTTAAATTAAATGATAATTTATCTGAACGTATAGCAAGTTTTAAACGATGTTGGATTAAATATGCAATTAATTTATTAAGTAAGATTATTTCAATGGTTAAAATACTTTAAATAAATATGATCGAATCTATATAAAAGAACAATTTCTTCTATCTTATCAGCACAATGACGAAAAGAAAACTTTCCCTCAACTGACAACTACTTGGAAGATTAGATTAATCTGAGTGCTATAAGAATAATTGAAAATTTAATTATAAATGTTTGTTTCCTACCCCTTTTTTTTTCAATGTTATGAGTAATCACAAATGTTTAATTCCTATAGAGAAAAAAAAACGTTTTACATATTGCTATGAAAATTTCTATTGAATTCTCTTGCAATTAGATATATGCTCTATAATCCGAACAGATCAATACCTTATGACATACACCTACTCTTATAGTTAGTGAGTGTGGACGGGAAGGTCAAACAATCGAGTACAAGAACTCTGTGTCAGACTCGTTTTCTGTTCGGTTGTATGCCTCATCGCTGAAACAAACATTATCGAACAGAAAGATCGCCGAAATCAACATTACCGAAATACAGATTGTCGATAGCGAAGTTCATTAAAACGCAGATTGCCGAATTCATTTCGAACATCTACTAGCTTATTAGAGTTAGCACTGAATCAAGTTAGTGATTACTTTAATGTGGTTTCTAACTTATTGTATCACTCACTTAAGTTAGTTGTTAACTGATCGATTCGATCATTAGCATAAAAATTGTCGATGGCCATATCACCGACAGTGACACCATCGAAAATACGAATAGTCGATAGTCACACTGCCGAAATGGCACTTTTTCGGCGAAGAGCATACCGACCTTCTGTGTTCAAAGCTACAGCTAGTATTAGTTGTATGGAAAATGTCGGGCTATTGAATCTACCGCAAAGTAGCCGAAACGCAGAGATATTCTTCCTATCTAGCCAGAGTTATGACTGTTTGAACAGATTTTTGATCTTTGGACCAGCTATTTATGGAAAGCTCAATTACGAGATTTTCATCTGAAATTTTATCTTTTGATAAGTCTCATGGTCACTAGAATATCTTAAAAATTTTAGCTCAAATGAATATATTCATCTTAAGATATGTAAAACTTTGTCGGATACTTAACATCTTAAAAACAATACATTTATTTGTGCTGAACATTCAAGGATATTTTAATAGCCATTGGATCTGTCTCTGTATAAAATTTCAGATGGAACTGTCGTAATTAAGTTTTCCATGCATAGCTGATCCAGAGATCGAAAAATAGTAAAACGATCATAACTCTGGTCGAAGAATGTATTTCTCTCGTAGGTACAATTATTATCAATACATATAATACTCGAATATTTCTCATACTGTAGTTATCGATAAAATGAATACTAACTCATAAACATAATCTATCAGTTATAAAACACTTTTCTATCAATTCGAATCGAATTTAAATCATTATTTTATCTATTGTATTCGTTATAAATGAATAAATATTTTCGTCTATAGGTGATTCATCTGATCGTCTTCTTCAAGCTGCTGATCGTGATGTTAATCCAAATGAAATTGTTCAATCATCATCAATACCACAATTTCAATTTCAATTAACACTTCCATCACCACCTATAACATGTTCATATATACTTGATTATGAACAAGCTCGTCAAGTATTTTTATTTGCAATGGATAAAATAAATTCAGCAAAATCTTATTATATTCTTGATGGTTTTGTAACTGATCATGTTGAATTATGTCAAGATACAAGTCAATTATATTTAAAATTAATATTTTTTGAATCAAATATTGATCGTAAATGTAAAATGTATAAACGTCGTATTGATATATTATCATTATTATGTAAAGAAATAAGTGAAGAACATTATTTATATTTAATACGTCAATTACTTTTTGAATTAGGTGAATGTTATTCAATGTTACTTGATCTTAAATTAGAACAAAAAGATAAATTAAATTCAAATAAAATATTAGAAAAAATTTCAAATTTAATTCAATTAGGTATTTCAACATTTGAACATTTTATATTAACAATGAATGATAAAAAAACAAATAAAAAACCTGAAATTTATGCTGATGAATTTATTCGACCTGTTTTATTAGCACATTTTTATATAGGAAGATTTCATTCAAAATCTATTGAAAATCGTCTTGAAAATATTGAACAAAGTTTAAATCAATATAAAATTATTGTTGATTATGTTGATAAACATCCAAATACACTTGAATATATTGAACAAGAATATAATATATGTAAAGAAATGATTAATTTATTACCATTAAAACTTGAAAAATTACGACAAATTAAATAAAAATTTTACTTTGTTTCATTTCATTTTAGATAAAGTTTGTTATTTTTTTTTTTCGTTTTGATTGTATGAATTCCACGAAAGAAAGTATTGTACATATATACAAATTGTTCAAAAGTTCATCGGAAAAGTTAGTATAAATATTCAATTGACTTTTTTTTAAATAACTATAAACATTAGAATAAAAATAATTTTTTCAATGATCAAATCTCACTCATCTATACTTGTGAAAAGAAAAATGAGAATCAAATTCGACAAAAACATATTAAATGAAGATTACATATCAATGCTTTTTTTTGAAACTAAATACATTTGTGCAAAATGAATTATAATCACAAGCTGTCGCAAAAGTCTACGAACGAATTGTACCTTGTACGATTTCAATGAAAGCTACTTCAGTCATAATTCGGTGTACTGTGATTTATTTTTTTACAAATACTATAAACTTCATCGATCTTTTTCTTTTGTGGTTTTTGATAGATTCCTCAGAATATCCTCAAACTTTCATTGTATTGATTTCAAAAAAGCATTGATATGCAATCTTCATTTGATGTGTTTTTGTTGAATTTGATTCTCACTTTTCGTTTCACACCTATAGGTGACTCATATTTGATCATTGAAAAAATTATTTTTATTCTAATCTTTATAATTATTTAAAAACAAAACATGCTTACGTATTATTAAAAAAAAGTCAATTGAATATTTACACGAACTTTCCCGATAGACTTGTAGAATATTCTGTATATTGAACTGGTCAAAAATATAAGATCAGCATATTTTGGATTAGGCAATAAAATTCTCTATCAAATATATTTCATACTAAAATTTTATGATGGACTATGAGAAAATTAATTTTGAAGAATACTATCTTAAAGTGCACAAAATTTTGATTGCAGCATTTCCTTCGATCTTCTCGTAAAATATTATAGGCATCACAAAAAATACGATTTTTAGCAATTCTATGATTAATTTCACTTTTTGTTACGTTTATAATTTTTTTAAGAGAACGTTGTAGGATATGTGCTGACTCCTCATTTTATTCAGAATTATGTGCTCTTGAAGATGGTACTCTTAGAAACTAATTTTAATACAATCTTCTAGGATCTGAAAACTACCGTGTTTCATTTCCTAGAAATCTTCTTCTCATAGTTCATCTAGAGAAGTTTATTTGATAAAGAACTTCATTGGTTATTTGAATTCTCGTGTTAAACACTTGATGTCATAGGGAAAAATAAAAATAAAAAATACAACTCGTCTTATATTTTTGAACAATACTGTAATTAAAAATGATAATTAGAGAAGCGAAGGGGACAAGTCTGGGATAAAGATTATAGTTAAATATTCTATGGTTTTAAGCGAATTATCTTATAAACTATATCAGTCAAAATATAGTTCAAAAGTCATGATCACCACAAAAATGCTAGTCTTTGATTAAATAAAGCAATAGATGAACTTGATTCCGCACATTTCTAATGATAACATATCCTAGTCAATTTGCATGGATGAAACTTTAGAAGAAATTCCTTTTTGTAAGATTTTTCGATTTAAAAGAATTCGGTATATTTCATAAAATGAATTAATGACTGAACTTGTGTTTTGATTCTTTCGAATTTTATAGACTCAGAAAATTTTTGCTCATTTAGTTCAAAATTATATTTTATAAAAAATCTCTGCTCTATAAATTATTCATTTCAATAACTTTTAGATACTCCGCATAAGGATGTATGAGATTAGCAAGAAATCTATTTGATCCGTCGTTCAAAATAATTTTTCAGATGTCTTTACTCTCCAGTGAAAATAGACAGAAAATACCTATTTCCAAGAGCATTCCTTAACATTGAAAATGAATGTCGAAAATTTTTGGAAGACTTAATATCTATTTTTATGTCTTAGCAGCGGCTCAGTTCATTAGATGAAGCTGCTAGTAACTGAAACTTGTACATTTGATCGTATGTTATATTCAATTGAAAAAAAAATTCTATTGTAGATTTTATCATTAATTGTGATATTTTTCTTTTTCATGACTAATTCATCTATAACGGTAAATTTTCTTAAGTGATTTGAATTTTAAGAAAATATTTTCCTTTTTTTTTTTTTCTTTCAAAAATAGAAATCCCAATATCTCTTACCCGGTGAACATGATAATACATTATCACTTGTTCATACTCATGGAATCTATCGAAATTTATCATTAAATTCTTCTTCTTCAAAACAAACATATCAAAAGAATTTTATTTCAATACCTCGTATTTATCAACCAAAAGAAAATGATTTTATTATTGGTATTGTTATTGTTCGTACACCTGATTTATTTCTTGTTGATATAAATAGTATTGAACCAGCTATATTACCAACTCCATCATTTGATAATGGTCGTTTACCAGCTCGTAATACAATGAATCGTTTAAGTGTTGTTTATGCACATGTTGTACGTACAGATTCTTGGACACAAACAGAATTATCATGTCAAACAATAGATCGTTTAAAGAAAAAAAATGATTTTGGTCTTATTGAACAAGGAAATATTCTTCGATGTTCATTAATATTATGTGAAAAATTACAACATTCATCATTAATAAATCATTTACATAATATTATAAAAAATTTTCGTATACGTATTACACGAAATGGTTTTATATGGTATTTAACTGATACAATTAATTCAATGATTGCTATAAAAAATATTTTATATAAATATGAATTTGAAAATAATATTGATTATTTAATAAATCTTTATCATGAAATAATGGTAAAACTTCAACAACAAGATGATAATCTTGTTAAAGTTAAACAACAACAACAACAACAACAACAACCATTAGTAAAAAAAGATATAGAAATAAAAAAAACTGAACAATCAAAAAATACTACTGCAGTTACACGTTTACTTAATCAAGTTATTCAAAGTGTTCTTGATAAAATTATTGATGATATTGAAAATAATGAAAATAAATAAATTTATCTTGGCTTGTAAATATTTTTTTGTAAAAATTTATTATTTACACTTTCTAGTTTTATTTTTCTTTTTGTTCATTCGGATTAATCAATAAGATTGTCTTTTCCAAAAAAAAAAAAAACATTTTAGATTTTCTTTTTTATAAATTATGGCTAGTGATTCGGATAATGAAATGGAAAATAGTATGGAAGAAGATATTGATAGTGATTTAGATGATGTCGAAGTAAGTTCAAATTAATTTATCATTAATAAATAAAATCAAGTGTTTTATATTCTAAGAGAAATAAAATAGATTTTGCATATGCATGACTTAAAATGAAAGAAAACTTTTCAATTCATATATTTATTTCGATATGATTTTGAAGATTAGTTTTAAAATAGGAGGATGTGTACAAAACTTTGCCTTCAAACAGTTCTTGAAAAAGTCATTAGAATCTTCTAAAAATTTCAGACAAAAAGAGTAGTGCCTTCTCGAAATATCAAATCCATAAAAATCTAATGACTTCTTCTAATCTCAACAGGTCCCAAAATAATGACTGGAGTATCAACTCAGATGGTTTCCTCGTTAGTATAGTTAGTGCATACTGAAGCACTGGCATACATTGCTACAAAAGGAGTGTATTTTGATAGAATTGATGTCTCAATGTGGCAGCGAACGTGGATATTATTGCTTTGGTGAACACCGATGCCCCAGTAGGACCTATGTCGAAAATTCACTGTCAGTATTTACACCAACACTGCACATCACTAGTGCAGAAAATCGATTGTATAATACATTAACGAGAGAACTTCGTCAAGTAGTAGTTCGTTTGTGAGATGAGTCTTAACTCAATAAGTGATCATGTTGAAACTAAAGAAAGTCGAACAGGATTCCTGTCTATGAATTGTTTTTTCTTGAGTCATGACCATTTTAATGCATTTTTTTTGTAAGACAAAAATATCGTACTATCACTCAGATCATCTTCTAAATTAGTTAAGAAAGTGTTCAAAAATATTAGAACAAAATTTGTTTTATTGCATAAAAAAAATCTTTACTATTGGCATCTAAGGATAGAAAATCTGATTCAATGGTGTTCGATGAAGGCATTGTCTTGTTAAACTTAATTATTATAAGATTACCGACAAGATTGTGTGCGAAATGGATAGAATAGAAATAATTAATAAGCGATCATCAAACTCACGAGAGAAGTATCCGAAAGTTAGCATGTCTTTTTTTTGAGATAATTAATTTTCAAGTACAATGGATGATTGTATCCTCCAAAGATAAACGGCTATCTATAAGGCAAAGTTTCATATCAAAACTTTTCTTTTGAATTTTTTTCCGAAAGACTGGGTCTCAATAAAACGGCCGTTACTTTTCATCAATACATTACGGACTCGAACTCTTTTAGACTTTTTCTATGCTCAATACGACCGATTCATCTTGTTAATAATTTATGACACAATAAAATTGTTTACATTCAATACTTTTTTATAAGTTTTAAAATTTAAAAGAAAATAAATAAATAACATAAAATATGTTCATTCAATAAAACATCAACAGTTTTTACTAAATTTTATATATATATATATCGCGTTTCTTTTTAGCTTCAAAAAGCTTTTAAAGAAGGTCGTCTTAAACCTGGTTTAAATATCGAACAAAAATCTAAACGACCATTAATCAACAACAAAGTTAATATATTTTTTCTTTTTGTAAACAAATGTTATAGAAATCTTTTTGTTTTTTTAAGGAAGCACTTACTGCTAAATATGCTGAAATCTATCTTGATTTACCATGGGTCGAACGACTCGATTGTACTAATACTCCATTGCTTGTTAATGAAGCTGATTTACCTACAAAGGATGATGAAACACTTGCTGATAATGATTTTAAACGCGAAATGCTTTTGTAAATTTATTAAAAAGAAAACAAATATATACAACTATGAATTCTTTTGTATCTTTTAGTTATCGTCAAGCTCAAGCAACTGTTCTCGAAGCTATTCCTCGTTTAAAAGCAGAAAATCTTGCAACAAAACGACCTGATGATTATTATGCACAAATGGCTAAATCAGATGAACATATGAAAAGAGTAAAATACATTTTTTTTTTTGTAAACTTTTAAAATTTTTTTGTTTTTTTTTTTCTTTTACATTTTTTAGATTCGAGAATATTTAGTTAATCGTAAATCTGATATTGAAAAACGTGAAAAATTACGTAAATTACGTGAACAAAGATTATATGGTAAAAAAGTTCAACAAGAAGTTTTACTTAAACGACAAGAAGATAAAACAAAATTGCTTAAAACAATGAAAAAAGTTCGAAAAGGTAAAATACAAAGTACAAAAAAAAAATAATAAATTTAGTTTTATCAATTTCAATATAGGAAAACAAGGTAGTATGCA